ATGCCCCCCACCTAGTGCAGCAGCCCCACATGTCCAGTCCTAAACAATGTCCCCCAATGGAGGCATTGCACGCAGGCCTGATCGTGTCCAGAGAGTCATGGGGCGTCCCAAGAACGTGATAATCTCAAAAAAGAAGCCGCGCATCTCGAAGCTAGGCCTGTCAATCGACGGGGAAGTACGAGCGGCAACGGGCCCCTGCTTCGTTGTGACAAGTTTGGCGAGACAGTGCAAAACTGCCCGCAATTATAAATGCGAAGCATTTGTTTGCGTACTGCCGGTACTTCTAGCGTCTATCTACAAATATGTCTATCTAGCCACCTACGGGTGTCTTATAATCCCACTTGAACTTTGAGTGAACCAATGGGAGGGTAAGATGGCTTGACGAATATTACTCCATTACTCATGACAAGAAGAATGAGAAGAAGAATGTGACAAAAAGAATGTGACAATCCTGTCGTGTACATAGTGGAACCCCTTCCGCCAGACACGTGTGGCACATGTACCCACGTGTCACGGGCGGGTGTGTGCCACAGGTGATAGTTTGTCTATGTAACAATGCCGAGAACAAACATTGGTAAGTTGAACGCGAGAGCGTTAAGAAAAAATCTGATGTCAGCAGCGTTGACCCGATGAATTCAAAAAACTCATATCAGGGCGCCAGCAGGAATCGAATCCAAGCATTCTGCGTGGCAATCGAGTAGTCTACCGCAGAGGCACGCCACGTCATGATACTGCTTTAGAGAGAGAGACTATTTATTAAAAAACTAATTTCTTCCGGTGTCTATATATCTCTGGCATGCTACTCTGTATAGGAATGGGTACTATAATACTTGGGAAGAGAGGGAAGGAAAGAATAATAAAAAGAATGTAAACAAATGTGAAATGTGCATGTGAACCTCATAAATGCATTTAAAGTTACGGTATCAGGCCAGTTAAGCTTTTTATGTGAGTTGTTATATCATTAAAACTTTCCGATGATGCCCATTTCCGGCAGGTAATTAAATAATGCCTGTACAACTCGACGCTGTCTTCAAGGTCCGAGCACTGGGCCTAACGTGTTGCGCAACGTTTACTGATTGTGGCAAATCATGTCCATTTGTAGTTCAAACACTTGTCTCTCGTCTTGGTACGCGGGGCATACAAGCGGTGTGTGCTCCACTGTTTCTATTCTGCCAAAGTTACCACAATTAACGGGGACTGGTGGTCCACCCTACGCATACCTGCATGGTCGAGTATGCCACGTTCAGTCGAAGGCGATGATACAGCGCCTCTAGGTGGCGAGGTAGCGAATGGGAATATTCGTTCTCATTTGTGGGTAAACGCAATACAGAAAGTTATCTTTGTGAAGCGGCAAGTTCCAAACTTAAGGCGTGGCCTGAACGGCCCGTCGTAATCGTATGAAGCCACCTCTCGTCCGTTCTTGATCCGGCCGTAGAGAGCGGTACTTGTACATATAACGAAATGCATATACGCTGAAAAATGCCATGGTACTAGAGGACGTTACTTGTAGTATGATAAATAATAAAAATCGCAGCATATCCATGGAGTGAATAATGATGAGTGGGGCGAAGCGTCCATCATAGCATCCGTGGCTCCGTCCATTTGTTCGTTCGTTCTTGCGTACGTCCATCCGTCCTCTTGTGCGACCATCCATGCATCCATCTGTGCGTCCGTCTCTACGTTCGTCCATGCGTCTGTCCATCCGTTCATCTGTCCTCTCGTGCGTCCATCCGTGCGTCCATCTGTCCGTGCATTCGTCCGTCCTCTTGTGCGTTGATCCGTGCACCCATGCGTCAGTCCCTGCGTTCGTTCATGCGTCCATCCGTCCATCCCTGCATTCGTCCATGCTTTCCTCCGTCCATACGTTCATCCATCATGTATCAGATTGCAGTTTATCAGTGTGACTGTACGTCACACTTATTCTGTCCTTCCTTTGTTCCCTTTCACTTTTTCATATCGTTTGCTTTAAAAGGGCTCGAAATAAACCGCCAGTGGCTTTCTTTGGGTGGCGCAGCTCTAGCCAACATGACATCCTGTTTCTTTTAGAGACACAATACATAGTTTTTGCTTGAACATCTGCCACACCAAACATGACATCCTGTTTTTTTTAGAGACACAATACATGGTGTCAGTAGTGCCAAAGCCTCGTCAAAATGGAAAACGTCAAGCATCCAGAACAGCTGCAGTTGGCAGGCAACATACGAAAAAATTGGCAGATGT